TAGCAACACCGGCCGGTTTGGCACCACTTATAGAGTAACAGGTGGAGTGCCTACACCGTCGATCTGTTTAGAATTTTATAGCTCCTCAGTTCCTAAATATAAGTCTTTTTTTAGAGATTCTACAATGGACTACATACGAAGCAAAGTGAGTGAATCTACGCTATAAAATATAGTTTGTAGTGGAATCTCTAAATAGACTTATATTTAGGAATAGAGGGAGTAGATCAGATCCGACCGTTGCCCGCGTGAAATTCAAAATCAACTTGCTTTTTGTCTTGTATAGACATGTTTATTCCACTTGCTAGATTAGAAGAGAAGAGAAGTAGGTTTCAAATTAGTAGTCAGAGGGGTGATGAAGCAGTTAAACCTTATAACTAACTACTCTCTCATCTCAAAATAAGTGTCTCAACTATGTACTAATTTTAGTACAAAGTTGCACTAAACTTTTTTTTGGAACGTAGACGCATGGCAGCATCCAAACCAGGCATAATCCACACCAACATAACACTTAAGTTCAGCGGGCTCGCAGTCCTGGCAAAGTAGAAGACTAAAGTTCACGAGGACGCTAAAAGCACATAACCATAAAGATACTAGACGTAAAAGCTCAATCTGGCGGATCTTGAAGTCTTGCTCTTGCCGTGCATGCTTTGATCTGCTCCATGATCTCGTTCATGCGCCCCTCGTCGCGCTGCTTCCCCAATGGCGCCCAAGCCTGTAGCCTCCAGGTTCTTGTCAGCGAGCCGCAGTTTAGCGCTTTCCAACGACGTCAATGCTCCCAGCTTGGCCTTGGCGCGGGTGCTAGGGGCCCGCGGAGTCACCGGAGTAGCCTTGAAACGTCTTGCTAAACTTGAGACATTTATTTTAGGATGGAGGAGTATTATATAGGTTGGCTCTTTAGGTCGGCTCTAGATGACATGTCTACTGGATAAGCCAGCAGCTGGCTTTACTATTAATTGTACTCTAATGGATTCGGTCAATTGGTACTGGCTAGTTGCGCAATTGATGCTCCTCGATTGCATGCATATAGATCCAGAATATCGATTGGTTCAGCCAACTGGTGCTATTAGTAGCATAACTACCCGTTTCTTTTTAGTCTGTATTAGTAGCATAACTGGTGCTATTGGTTCAGCAGATCGATTGTATTAGATTTGTCTAAAGTCAAAAAAGTTAAAGTTGGACTAACATTACATAAAAATATATTAACATTCACAATATCAAATGAATATTTCTAGATGCATCATGAAATAAGTTATCATATCGTATATCTCTAGTGTTGTAGATGTTGATAATATTTTTAATAGTACAAGTTTGATCTAAGACAAACCTTATATACAGAGTGAAAAGATACGAAGGGAGAATAAATATGTTTAGCCACTTCCTTTGCTACCCACTATTAGGTACTCCTTGCTAGATTAGATTAAAAGAACTGTGCCGCATGTATGGATGTGCATGTGCATGTAGGGGTACATAGCTTCAGAATCAACAACTCCCTCTGTTCGGAATTACTCGTTCAAGAAATGAATGTATTTAGATGTATTTTAGTTGTAGATATATTCATTTTTATCCATTTTTGTGACAAGTAATTCCGAACGGAGGGAGTAGTTACTTATAGAGTAATCCGTGGAGTGCCTACACTGTCGACCTATTTAGGATTTTATAGATCAGATCCGACCTCTGCCCGCGTGAACGTCATGAATCAACTTGCTTTTTATCTAGTATAAATATGTTTATCCACTTGCTAGATTGGATCAAAAGAACCGTGCAGCGTGTGTCCCTGCCTTAGGGACAGTGATACGAGATGCATGTGCATGCAAGTAGCTTCAAAATCAACTATGTACTCATCGCTAAATTAGATTAAAACAAACTAGTTTGCGCTTGATCTTAGGAGCAAATATAGTAAGATGATGTAAGCACGATATAAGTATTTATGTACTCCCTCCGTTTCTAAATATGTCTTTTTAAAGATTTCAATATACATATGGCTGTATATAGTAGATTCACTCATTTTGCTTCGTATGTAGTTTATATTGAAATCTTTAAAAAGACTTATATTCAGGAACGGAGAGAGTATATTATATATTCTTGCTGGTTTAAGGATAGAGAAGATGATATAGAAGAGAAGTAGGTTTCAAATTAGTAGTCACAACACGGGCTCCAAGAAACATTGTGAAAGAAGGAGGTGGGCCTGGTAGTGATGACGTAGTAAAACCTTATAACTAACTCCACTACACTACACATATGCATGGTTTCCACCTTTAGTGAGATGTCGTTCAATTCATCGAATTTCAATGATCTCACTAGAGACCCGAGTATTTACTTTTTGGTCAAAATGTTTCAACCATTTTAGTAGTACAAAAGAATTACATTTTTTTTAAAAAAAATATCCAATTATTTGATAGAATTTCAAGTGAATGCTTGGGTCTTCTGGCTGAACTGAAAACTACAATTTTAATGTAAGTTGTCCTTCCTGTCAGTCTCTACTTCCCCATGGAATCACTCGGTCTCTACTTCCCCATGGAATCGCTATGAATTTCAGTGATTTGGGCACTTGGTGATTTTTTTTTCTGAGCTGTATTTTTCCCCGTGACTACACCTAACACCTGTATAAAGCAATGAAGTCTCTAATCAAAATCCACCATATAAACCATCTTCGAATTAATTGGACTCAAGCTTGATCACGTATGTGTGCAAGTTACCACGGCAGCTACCCGATGTGTGCAAGTTAATTTGTTACAATTTGTAAAAAAAAATAAAAAAAACATGAACATTTTTCATTTTGTGAACATATTTATTAATTCAAGAATTCTTTTATTTTGGTTTCAAAATGAAGTCAGGTTTTAGCAAGCAGCTGATGTTTTTTCCTCAGAAAACGCCAGTAGAAAAAAAGAGCCGAGTGAGTGATCTCGAAGTAGAAAACTACTGGCGAGCTGGCCTGGGCTGGCCTGGCCAGAATGGGCCCATAGTATTTGATGGGCTGAGAGAACCACCCGACGCAGCAAACCAGGGAATTTCCTATTGGACGCTCGTTGCGTCAAACAGTCGACGCATCGCACAGCTTGGGCCGGCCCATTTAACGTGTATCAGTGTTTCCGGTTTTGGGAACCTTCCACAGTTCCCAGCCGGTTTTTTCTGCTTCCTAAACCGGTTTTTCTTTTTTCTTTTTTTCTTTTCTGTTTCTTTTTCTAATTTCTTCTTTCTTTTTTTAGTTTTTTTCTAGTTATTTTTTCAATGTTATTTTATCTTTTTCAACTAAGTACATATTCAGATTTGTTCTTAATTTTCGAAAAATCTTCTTGCTTCTAAAAAATGTTCTTTTTGAATTTTCGAATTTTTCTTCTTCTTTTCGTTTTTAGTTATTTCTGTTTCTTTTTTCTTTTATTCTTTTTGTTTTTTCTATTTGTTTTCATTCTCTGGTTTGTTATTTCATTTTCTTTTCTCCTCTTTTTTATAAAAATATTCAAATTTTGTTTGTGTTTCCATAAAATGTTCAGTTTTCAAAACAAATGTTCTGAACATTCAAAATTTGTTCTCGTTACCCAAAAAGGTTCAAAACTTTCGAAATTCATATAATGTACCAGATTTTAAAAACAATTGTTCACATTTTCAAAAAATGCTCGCGCTTCCAAATTTGTTCAGGATATTTAAAATTGGTTCTCCGTCTCAAAATTTCTGCTCAATATTTAAAAAATATCCGTGCTTCGCGCTTCCAAATTTGTTCTCCGTTTCAAAATTTGTTCCCAAGAGTCGAAAAAATGTTCATGCCTTAAAATATTGTCCGCTCTTCTAAATTTGTTCTCTATTTCGAAATTCGTTCTCAAGATTCAAAAAATGTTCATTCTTTAAAAAATGATCATGTTCAAATTTTGTTCTCATTTCAAAATTTTGTTCTCTAAATTCAAAAACAGATCGGGATTTTAAATCACAATTTCGAAAAATATTCTCATTTTCATTTTTTTCCTTTTTTCACCACTGTTTGAGGTTCCCAAAAAATGTTCGTGTTTTCAGAAATGTTCCGGTTTTCAAATTTTGTACACAATTTCAAAAAAAATATTCTTTTGTAATAAATACTCGCAAATTCCAAAAAAATTGCCATGTTTAAAATTTTGTTCACATTTCCAAAAAAGCTTACAGTACAAATTTTGTTCGCATTTTAAAAAAAGTTCCTGTTTTATTTTTTTGGTGCTGAATTAAAAAAATGTTCCTGTTTTCCATTTTTAAACAAAACTAAAAAATGTTCGTGATATAAAAAATGTTCATTTTTTTCGTAATTTGTTTTTTTTCAGAAACATTTTTGAAAATTGTTCTGGTTTCGAATCTGTTTGGAGTTTGCAAATTTTGTTCCTGTTTCATTTTTGAATCAGATTTAAAAAACATCTTCACTTTTCCAAAAAGATGGAATACGAAAAAAGCGGCATTTTGAAACTGCTTGCAATTTTCAAGAAATATTTTCAAAATGTTTTCGAAATTTCAGCGCTACTTTTGATGGTGGCTTGTAGTGTAGTGGCTAATGGCCCGTGGTTGGAGTCTGAGGTCGTGGGATCTATTCCTGGTACTCGCTGCCGGTTTTTCAGCTCTTTTTGTCGCGCACGAAAGGAAACAAAAGATCGGGTTGGTGGGCCGGCCCAGTCAAGCGTCAACCCTGTGCGTCGAGCTGCTGTTTGATACAAAATGCGTCACATAAGAGGTCTCGCAAACCAGACCTCACAGATCAGACAAACACAACCGGCCCACTACAGTCAGTTTTACATGTTCCATATATATGGAACAATAGCGAGCATTACCATCTAAAAAAAAAACCGGCCAGCATTACCACAAGACTAAGCAATAAATTAATTGACTGGGAATATCACCAATAAATTACCTATGCCTACAATACAGTGTTCACTTTCTCGCAAAAAAAAATAGTGTACACTTTCTTTCAGGACTAGATTGCTAGTGTAATAAAATTTTAAAGAAGACTCACGTTCCGACTTTTGGTTCGCGACAATAGCAACAAAAATTTAGTTTCCGGCTTCGACCCGCGACACAATAGCACCCACGCTTCTTTGCTCAAAGTATAACCTCCGACAACGCAGCATGCTGCCCAAGGGTTTAGAACCCATAACCTGCAGACAGCATCAAAACAAGTTAGATGACAAATACTATATCGGCGACAAGCACATGTTTTCTAAACAAGTCTCTGCATACCTGAACCGGCCATTGGGTTTGCGGCAGGCGCCTTCTCAGATTCCTTGATGTCGACCACGACGGCGTCCGAGGTGATGAATGTTTTCGCCACCGATGCGGCATGCTCCAGGCAGCACCTCACAACCTGTTTTGTGAGAAATCAGGTTAGCTTATGGGCCCACTGCTTGTTTGAGAAAGGAGGGTGGATACAATATTCCAGGGACAGAACCCCTGCCTCAGTGATCATGCTTAATGTTTCAGTATAATTGCACATTAAGGCTAACGGCATACATAAAGAACACTCCACCTAGTCAATTCCCGGCAAAATATAATAGACCTGGGGTTTTTGAAATACTTTTCGATTTCTTGAATAACACAATTTTTATAAAGAAAGATTTCGTTTGAGAAAAAACGTTCTGATACAGGAGAAAAAGATATCAACACAATTTGCTTGTTACCTTGGTGGGATCAATAATACCAGCAGCCATCAAATCCTCATAATTCCCTGTAGCGGCATTGTAGCCGTACCTGAAGTTGTCGTTCACAAGGACCTGAGTATAGACAAGCTCCAAATTAGTTACGCACAAGATTCTAAATATTAACTTCAGATTTGAAAACAAACTTCAGTCCAAACCTTCTCAGTGACCACACTGCCATTGACACCAGCATTTTTCGCAATCAGTTTAAGAGGATAGCTCAAGGATTTCCTCACAATTTCAGCACCGACCTTGAAAAGGCAAACAGAAAATTAGTTCATTTTCATGGAAGAAACCAGCTCTATGAACCAAGGATAACATTCAAATGTCAAAACTTCTAGAAAGAAAATCTCATTTGCCTTTTCCATACCTTCTGTTCATCATTCTCAAGGGTTTCTTTAATGGCATCAACTTTTGATGCAAGCCTTAGAAGGGTACAACCACCACCGACAACAATACCTTCCTCCACAGCGGCCTGTCCACAAAGCGAGCAATCAATTAATAAGAAATAATTACATATAGTTTGATATATATAAGTACAATCAACACATAAATTACAATATCACATCAGAAGTCTTTCTGTATGATAAACACAGTTAATACAAATCCCAAAAATCAATTGCATTTGAACAAGAATAAAGCATTACCTTTGTTGCATTCAGTGCGTCTTCAACCCTCAGTTTCTTTTCCTTAAGCTCAGTTTCAGTCTGTGCTCCTACCTACAAACCAAGATGTATCATTTTATAGCTGTTATGTTATGCAAATGCAGACTAGTGCATCACTAGGTGCCTTTCTGTAATTGCAGCCTAGAGCATCAGTAGGTGCTTAATGTAAAACAACAGAAGTACCTGAATGACAGCAACGCCACCGGATAGTTTAGCTATCCTCTCGTTTAGCTTTTCTTTTTCGTATTCCTGTTCAGAAGCCTGAAAAAATAAAGATTGAACAAAACATTACTTAAAGCCTTTTCTATCCACACTTCAAGTGACACATGCAAGACAAAAACTGAATTTATCTATACTGGAAAAACAGAGCAACGAAAAGAGACTGGACAAACAGAGGAGCCATGAGAAAAATCAGAAAAACAGAACATGGTTTCACAAATAGGAATTTGTTTTTCTCAAGCATGCATCAAAGTCTGTCCTATATAATAAAGTGCATCAAATTGATGCTAAGATACAACCAAACACAGAAAAATGAGAAGCAGAGAAGCAAAGGAGAAAAATAAACAAAGATCATAAAAAAGGGAGACCAGAAACTGCCAGCCTAACTAACTTGATAGGAGAAAGGCTATAGACAGGGGCTGCATAGGGAGGCCTAGCGCATTTGACAAATAGGGTACAGAAAACTGTAAACATGCAATACAAGTTTACTATAAAGACCTCAATTTGGTTCTTGATTTGTGTAACCCTTTTGGTTACTTCCTCCTGTGTAGTACCATCTCCAACAATTGTTGTCGAATCCTTAGTAATTACAACCTTGGCGGCATTTCCAAGAACTTCTTTGTCTGCTTTGTCCAGGGACAGTCCGATTTCTTCTCTGATGACAGTGCCTGGGCGAATAATGACCTTTATAAGTGAACCAATATAAAAATGGGACACATCATATTGCACCAAAGATTATTAAATTTACCTCCTGTCAGAGTAGCGATATCATCCAGGTATTGACTCTTGCGCTCTCCAAAACCAGGGGCTTTAATAGCAGCAATCTTCAGTTCACCTCTAAGCCTATTGACCACAAGAGTTGCAAGAGCTTCCTGCTCAATATCCTCTGCGATTATTAAAATTGGATATCCACCCTTAATAGCGTCCTCCAGAAGAGTGATGAGATCTCTGGCGTTGTTAATTTTCTTGTCCACAAGAAGCAGCTGAGTAACGGACAAAATACCAGCTCCATAACATAGGACTCATGGAGATGTTGATTACTGAAATTTAAGTAGATAAGGAGGCAAAAAGCTATAGAGAATCAGACCTTGCAATTCTCATACTCCACTGACATTTTTTCACTGTCGGTTACAAAGTAGGGAGAAATATAGCCGCGGTCGAATTGCATCCCTTCAACCACATAGAGGTTGTTTTCGGCACTCTTCCCTTCTTCAAGTGTAACCACCCCCTGTCGCCCAATCTTGCTCATAGCATCAGCTATCATGTTGCCAATTTCGTAGTTATTTCCAGCGCTTACTGCAGCAACATCAGCAAGTTCGCTATCTTCAACCTGCAACATTGAGCGTAATTCAATAAGTTTGAGTTTTCAATAGATCCAAATGGGGATCAGTGCTCCTGAAAATAACTACTCCCTCCGTCCGGAAATACTTGTCATCAAAATGGATGAAAATGGATGTATCTACAACTAAAATACATCTAGATACATCCATTTCAATGACAAGTATTTCCGGACGGAGGAAGTACTTATTACATAATTATCAGGCATTTAAAATATCAGCTGGAAAAGAGAGATGGTCAATCACAAACCAAATAACTTTCAGAAGAAATCCAGGGAAAATATAGAAATGGAAAAACATAACAGAGCATGTGTATTTGGAGGAAGGAAAAAAAGGAAAATAGATGTGCTGATGCGGCGCGGTTCATTGGCAAACGTGGTGATGTCATATTGAACACCAATTGCTGTGGACTTAATAATGTACAGTATAATCCAATTGTTTTATATATGTACAGACAAGCTAAATTCACATTTATTCTGTATTACGAAAGCAGCTGTGTAATAGAACATGTCTCATTTACGGTCCTTAAAGGTAAATAAGCCATCATGTTTATATGTAACATAGTGAGCCAAAGTCACAAGAATCATATGCATGCTAATATTACATTAGAAGATTGGTTTAATAATTGTGATTGCAGAACAGCATAGGTCAGAGGAGACATAATACTGAATTTAGAATTATTTTATTTCCAGAATGGAACAGATTAGCGATATCTCACCTCCTTGGACATCTTTCGGAGCTCACCGACTAGTGCTTTGGTTGTTTTCTCAATACCACGGGCAATCTGTACTGGATTAGCACCGGCAGCTACAATCTGCAGAAAGTAATTAAACAAACTAGACATTATGCCCAGAACTTAATGAGAGCACTTATGCTATAAACTGTAGCAAGACCCATGGTTTCATATTTCTGTACCTTAACACCCTCAGCAATCATTCCTTGAGCAAGGATGGCAGAAGTGGTAGTTCCATCACCAGCCAAATCATTGGTCTTAGCAGCAGCTTGCCTGACCAATTTAGCTCCAATATTTTCAACAGGGTCCTCCAGCTCAACCTGGTCCATAAGCCAATCATTTCATGAGTAAAGTTCACAGTCATCAGGGTAAGAAATGACGCGCTAAATCTCCTGACAGAACAGCACCTCTTTTGCCACCGTGACGCCATCATTGACAATTCTAGGAGACCCGTATTTGCTCTCAAGGACGACATTCCGCCCTTTTGGGCCAAGAGTAACTCCAACCAGATCAGCAAGCTTATTGACTCCAGTCTGATCACAGGAAAAAAAAAATAACAAGTCAGCAAGAAGGCATCACGAACTGAAACGACGAGGCGGCATATGAACGATGGCACGGCGATTCGACTCACTTGCAGCTTCTTTATAGCCGACCCGTCCTTGTTGAAATACAGCTCCTTTGCAGCGTTCACTCGGACACCGCACTTTCTCCCTGGCCTGACCCTCTTGGGCAGCGAGACCAACGGGGGCGAAACGAGGGAGAGCTGCTTCCTGGTCGCGAATCCGGAAGGAGCGGCGGCCTTGAGGCCACACGTTGAGGCGCCCCCGAACGGTGAAGCCATACTGTCCTTAACGGTCTGTCGGCGCGATATTTCAAACAGTTTGTATCAGCATGAATTCAACACGAGAACGGAGACAGTAATACGAGAATAATACATGGTGCATAAGTCAAACTGGGCAGCTAAGCAGAGACAAGAGAAGCTCTGATTGCTCCAGAACAAGCAGAGCAATGGCTGTAACAATTCTGACACCGGCCCACGCCGAGCAGATGCCTGCGTTTCCACTGGCCGTGTGGGCTGGCATCGACTGTACTGTAAAACGGTGTGATCTGCTGGTCCGACATGCATGTGTGCGATTCTGCAGCTGATTAAGGCCCTGATTTGACTGTACTTTACCATACTATAGCCGAGTGATCCGACAGTGTTGCTGGGTTCGTGTCTAACTAATTAAGCCCTGATCGATCTGGTGCCCTCGGCGGCCTAATAATCAGAATCATACGCACGGATACGGCGATGCGAACCCCCAGGATATTCAGGGTAAAATCTACTAGGAAGGGCGAAAAATCCCCTGCCCTGCCCTGCCCTGCCCTGCTCTGATTAGTAATTGGAGCATACACCCACCCAACAAGAACAGCCAGGCAGGAGGGATCCCTAATGAGAACTGAATACCACTCCGCAACAGGATCCGATCCGCGCGCGACAACTCCGGCCGATCGAGCAGGTTCGAAATTACTCGTCACGAGTAGCAGAGACATGGGGGGAGAGGGGGTCGACCCGTCGATACCTGAGTTGAGTGGGTGAGGAAGAGGAGTGCGTCGGCTGACCGATCTCGCCGGCGGCCGATCTCCCTCTCTCGGGCTTAAATAAAAATAAATAAACGAATCGGCGGAGAAACCAATTGAATGCTGCTGACAGGTGGGACCCGCTGGGCCGGGAGAGCGTCTCGAACCTTCTTTTGGTGCACTCCCCTCGCCTCGCTTTGCGTGCTAGGTGGGCAAAGAATATGTGCAAAAGTTTTTACAAACTCGATTAAGTAAGGGCGCTAATACGATGGGACACCCTGGTGGCTCTACCACCAATGCTACACGTACAAACAGTTTACAGGCTTTTACAGGATGGGTTAGTTTTCATTGGCTAACCGGTGAGCGGGACGACCCACCCTTAAAAATCAGGGAGGGAGAGATTTGTGATTGGTTGTTAGATGGAAACAGTTTACAGGCTTTTACAAATCTTTGTATGTCTAGCATTTTTGTGGGTCTACCCCGGGCGGTGTGGAATAATCTCTGGAAACTTCAAATTCCACGTAAAATACAGATTTTTTGTTGGCGAGCACTGCGAGGAGTTATCCCACTAAGAGCTATTTGTACCTACTAATAAACTAGCGATCGTTTCTGGTCGTACGTCGTTGTCGTTTTTGCAGAAAAGTCCTTCTATTTTTAAGAATTCAACCCGCCATCCTTTCTTAAGTGAGAAAAACATTTCGTTCAGAAATTTATAAATAAAACCCTGTGGTTTTAGGATTCAACACGCGGTCCCCGGTGAGTGAATAATAAGCGGTTTCTGGGCTGGTGCGGCGGCGCTCCCGGTCCCGATCGGGAGCAGGACGGCGGCGGCAGAGATCCGGGAGGCGGGGAACGGCGGGGAAGTGGCGGAGGTCGGGATCCATCCTGGCGGTTCGTAGTGGAGGCCGGCGGCGGCGGTGCTCCATGGCTGTGGCGACTCGGTCTTCTGGGAAGAAGATACAAGGGAGGGAGACGAGGTGAGATGGAGAGAAGAGAAGGGAGAATAGGGACTGTGCGGCTACCTGCTGCTGGTCCGACGGCGGCTCCGGTCATCGGATCAGGGTGTCCAGATTCCTCTCCTCCCCGCAAAAAAGTATGCCATGTCGTTGCTAATTGCTAGAGATGCCCTTCACAAGTTCAGCCCGTGGCCAACAGAATTCAGTGGCATGGGCATGCTCTCGCCTGATTAATTTTGTATAGAAGATTTTTCATGAGTGCTTGAGTACATGTTCAATATACATAACAACTTCTCCGGTGACTTACTCAACTAATGGTTAGATACAATTTTAGAAGCAGTGAATAGACGCATGATACGTTTGTTATCTGCTTCTCAATGTTCATAATGTGTAAAATGATTCAACTTTTGTATGATTTTGCTTCAGAAGTTGAATCTGCCAAATCTTGAGAACATTGACTATATGCTCCAACACTGCAGGCCAACTCTTGATGGATTTCCAATGTGTTGCTGGCCTCCCAATTTTTTCCGTCGTGCAGCCGCTCCCTGTCTCCCTGTGTCGTCCCAAGATGGTCTGGTTGGGCGCTGTCCTGACGGCCGAGCGTGTGCTATCCACGGAACACAACTCCTCCACTCAGGCCCTCCTCCGCAACGCCGGCGAGGACACTACTTCATCCGAACCACGCACAGGTACACGCACATGAGCTCCCCTGCCACCCCTGCATTGATTTAAGGCGAAATCCAATTGGGAGGTATTGGTAGGCACCAATGTATTCTTGGTTGAGTTCCCATGTCTTGAATTACGTTGATCCTTTTGGTAAGATCAAACTGAACAAACTAAACATCACTTGCCCAAACAAGCTGAACGTCATGCTACATTATTGTAAATCATTTACCAGGACTTTGTGTTCTTTGTACAAAACAGCCAAGACCTCGATCACTTATTTGTAGAGCATAAGCGAAGACATCTTTCGTTGAATCCACATATATGTTCGGTTTTTTAATTGATTTTGAAATTTCAGGAGCTCTATGGCACATGTAACAGGTCTTGGACATGATGGCCGGACGCGATGAGGAGGACATATTGGATCCCCATGGATGCCAAGGATTCGAGGACATTGGCAGATGTAGAGGAGGCAATGAGGACGGAGATGATTGCGGCACACAATTTAAATAAACCAGAATATCCTGAAAATTATATTTGGTGTATAGAATTCAGTTTTAGTCTTTGAGTACATTTTCATCATTCACTAACTCCAGTAGTGAGTAAAAATATATAAAACTACGTGACTTGTAAATTTTTGTGTCTGTCGTGCGTCCCAATGATTCCATCGGCATCGGCCCTCCCCTACCCTGGTGCGGACTGCAGTATTAGCGGTCTCCTTTTGGAGTCCTGAAGCAGCTCAAGGGCATCGTCCTTGGTGCGCCTCCTCAAGGCTTGATGCTTTCTACAGGAAAAAAAATGGTTCTTTTCTTTGAGATGAGGAAAATTACTTCCCTTTCTACAGGAAAAGATGGTTCTGTTAGATAAATGTCTTCCCAAGTTAAAGGCACATGGCTCTGAAGTACTAATATTCTCTGAGGTACTGATTCTCTCTGTTACTCATGCACCTAGCTTGGTTGCTTCACAAAGCATCATGACTATGATAAAAATATGATAGCAATCATGAGTTACAGAAATTCTTCTTGCGAGGTGATTTTGTGCCCATGCTCACATTCTATCTTGAGTTTTGTGACCCATATTATACAACATCTTCTTTGCGTATTCATGATTGTGTGGAGCTTGCAAGACTAATTCATGCTGGCTTCTTAGCTTTTCATTTTTTATATTTGCCACAAGCCTGCTTTGCTATGTTATGCATGATCTTCTTGCCCATCTCATACTTTCAGCTCTCCCTTCTCATTATATAGTGAAAATGTAATCTTAAATCATGACCAGAAAAAAATGTGCAGGTTCTACATGTTTACTTGCATGCTATTTTTTTACAGGGGCACCATAACATGTGAAAATGTTGAAGAGCGTTGTGAAGTTCCACGCAGCGGGCATGAAGATTGGTCACATCTATATGTATAGTTGTGCTGCAGGTGATTATACTCTTCATTGAAGACTTATACTTTGAGGGGATGTAATACACTACAAGAAATATGTCAACTTATGACCTTCTGTCAGTGACCCTCGAGGAATTGGTCATAAATTTATGACCATTTTAGACCAATTGGTCAAAAGCTGTCTGGGGGGCTCTAAACCCTAAACCATAACGACCATTTTGGTCAGAAAGGTCATAATTTCATTAGAGGAAATGGTCATAAAGCAAACATCGCTAGTCTGCTGCCTTATTTCTAGTTGTTAACGACCAATATAGATGGTCATAGCCTTGTAAATTGTGGTGGGTTGCGATGACTAGGCGCCATCTCATCAGTTTTGCCTATGTGTCATGTCCATGTGGCAGTTTTTGCCCTAGGTTGTGAAGCAACCTATATTTCTGTCATGGCCAAAATTCCCAAACAAATCTCATAAATTCTTTGGGTCATATCTTCATCAAATATGTAAAAACCTTCCTTGTCTAGTTCAAAAATAATTCAAAAATATTCATTTTCCTATTCTATTCAGAATAACAGTTTGTGAAGGAAGTACCACTTTGGCATGTCCAAATAGCATCCATTTTCTACAGTGCTTTCCTATGCTCAAATAACCATCCTCCACCAAATGCCAGCTCAATCCATTCATTATTTTGAGCCGAGCTTCAACATTCATAGTTATGTCCAGTGTGGGAGTTTGCAAAGCAAGTACCACCTAGGCTCCTCCTTTTGAGCTGAAAATTTGTGAAAACGGTCTTCTTAGTAACTTATCATCCTCAGCCAAAACTCACGCCCGTTAGCCATGTACATTTCTCGTACCGCTAATCAAACACTTGGCTGCTAATTCATGTTTGAGCATCGATTGGTCTCCTCGTGAGAATCTTATGTTATAATTTTCTTCCTAGCACCAACCTGGGGAGTTCCCAACCCACTAGACATGCCTAGGCCGCCCAGAACACATGGCAACGCCACGGTCACGCGGTGACCACGCGGCGGGCATGCGAGTTTATGCGCTCTAGAGTTGGGGCCCTCAGCCACCGCCCAAACCTCGACGTATCGCCACCAAACCATGTATTTATGATTAAATAGGTCCTTATGTAACTAGAAATGATTTTTGGAAAAAATAAATAGCAAACTATGAGGCAGCTGCAGTTCAAAATTGACCCGCTTCCAACTAAATCGGCAGAAATTTGTCTTTTTCACGAGAGGTGGATCAAATTTTTTTACACTAGACCATTTTGTCAATT